CCCCTTCAGCAGATTTCGGATGTGCTCCAGCATCCGAACAGCAGCAACCGCAGTCCAACGCTGATTCATTTATTAAGCCGGAACTATCTGACTCTGCTTCGGAAAGTGAAATGTCGAATTCTTCTGAACACCCGTTGGTTGTACAACAACAGCGGACACGACCGTATGTCCTGCGCAACAGAGGCCTGACATTATTCAATTATAAATCAAACTCTTGAGAACTTTCATCTCTGCGGGGGGTGAATGTTATATATTTGCTCTGTTTTTCAAACGTTTCACCATTTGTTGCTAAGTCACTTTCTTCCGTTTTCAGATCTCAGTGTCAGAGTTTTGGATGAATAAAGCCTAGCTTTCGGGCCCTCAGTCTTTTCCATTGTCATTCTGATTGTCGTTGCACTCCGACCCTCGTCGTACTCAACAACCAGCAGAGATGTTCTTTGAAGTGTTCATCCTATCGCTCAAAATTTGAGGGATTGAGTCGATTGCAGTTTCGTCTTTTTCACATATCGTTTGGCCGATGCTTTTCTTCGATGGTAAGGTTGATCAAATCGGCTGAAACAAAGCCCGTCTGTTATTTGAAGCGAAAGCCCGTCCATATCCTGGGCCTTCGCAATCCACCAACAGCCATCTGTCATTTTCAAGCTCTTGATTATCCGCTATTTGAGGGATGAGTTCACCATCACAGTCGCTAATTGCTGGTATGGCATATCCGGTAGTAGTAAGATCTGATATCGACGATAGCCAGTGTTCGTTTATTCGAGTCGATGGCTTGGAGAGACAGTTCCGGAGGTTCAGAGTATGGCTCCCTTAACTCAATTCCATTCAACCTCCAAGCAATCTTCGATGTACATTGCTGACGAAAAGCGGTGATAACTACGTTCGGACAACTGTTTAGCCGGAGTCAATTTGCGTACCCCAGAAGGAGCGACAATCAGCAATTGAGTTTATCCGTCAATTAGAGATAGTCGCATGGTCCGCATAAGTCCATAACTATCTTGCAATTTGTTGCCCCCAACCGACTAGACGAGAGCGTTTGTGCTGGACGTTTGTACTGGTTCTATTCACACTGGCCTTCAAAACTGAGAACCGTTTAGCACCGTCAGATACACGCTTATTAATTTCAACAGTATATCATGTAATGTGATAGAATTTATTCTGAAGCGGACCATTCTAAGTCACCTCATCACTAAACAACGCAGACTCCTTCCAAGCCATCCTTCTAGGAAGTGTTCATGGACAGCCTAACCTAAGTCACCATCATCAGTGATGAGATGAACAACTTAGAAAAGCCGCATACCTATAGAACGCTGGTCATCGGTTGATTCGGCACATTTCTTCCCGAATTAATTCCAGGGACTCTTAGTGTGAAGCCTACGTCAGGCCACTCATTGACACTACAAGGCACTCACAAGACACTACAGTGTCTTGTGATATATTAGGCCGACACAAAAATATGACAAAGATTAAAGCAACCGAGTTCAGTTGCTTAAGAGCACGACCGCGAAAATTCTTGGATGTGGTTGAGCTTACTTCTGCACATGCGAAAATAAAAATGTTGATTTCCTGCTGATTTTGTGCAAAAGGAGGTGATGTAGGTAGTCATAAAAAGGTTGAGTAAAGATAGATTGATTTGGAATATTTCAACGTCGACAAGTTTTCAATTTTCAGTTGTATCATGCGCTTGATAAACGCTGAAATGCATATCCCACGCGGGCTGTGAAAAGCTTTTCTGGAATAAGTCCTCTAAATGGTTACGAATTATCTCTTCGTGTTTTCACCCAAGAATCTTTCCTTACTTATGTATTTTAAACTTTCAAACACCCCTTCACTCAGTTTATCCGCTAACTGCCTTCGAACGTACGGGCTTCCCGGCCTGTCCATGGCCAATCTTTCCGATTACTGGTCTCTGCGCGAATCGCACGACTGTAATATGCACGCTATGGAAGCATCAGGGGACAGTGATTCTCCGAAGGCAGGTGTTTACGACAATTTCTGTGGATGGAAAACAGAAACACACCTCATGAGCCAGAGCCCAGTAAGCAAGGTTGTACATCACCAATACTTACATATGAATCAATCAAAATGACAGACACCGTATACTACACGACCCCCCACGCGGAAAGCTTTGCTTAAAAATTTGAAGTGAGCGGTGGGTCTATTTTGGCCAATCAGAGTGTACAATGGAACCCAGGCCACGTAAGCCGCTTACTTGAGATCTTGACCGGTCTAAAATTATGTCAAAACCATATCAGTGTTCAATGTAAGCCGACGCGAATGTACATCCGTTCCATGTGCACTCCGAATCTCTGCGAAATACCGGCGAGAGAATCTGGTGCTTCACCAGGTTATTCGAAAAAGTTCGCCGTAGTGATAAAATTTTGGTTCCTTCGACCCTTACTACCTTGGGGTCGGCGCCACTGCTGCTAGAGAGGATGGTAATGCATACGCTTCTTTTGACATTTGGGGCTTAGCAGATCTGTGGGACGCATCCTGTCAGAGCACATGATGAAGAAATTCCACGGTCATGAGTGTCGTTCATTCACGGATTCACGGATTGATACACAGGATCGAGGCTATTGCCCAAGTCTCCCGGGTCGGTTTTGTTCTTGTCGGTCAGTGGCTCTCGTTCACCTGAAAGGCACAAGTGAAAAAAGGGTGTAGCACTGCTCTTTATGTTCTCAGCGCGGGGCAGTATGCTCGCCAGCGCGAGGATTCGCATAAATAAATGTCTAATAGTGCTTTAAATTGGGTTCGAGAAGGAGCGTGTACAACCGTCGGAGGAAGGTCATTCCACGCAGCTACTACCCGAAATGAAAAAAAGTTTTGTCTAACGGATGTGTGTGCCCTGAGCTTGAAGATTTTCTTACTATGTCCCCGCCGGGTGTTTGCTGGGTCAACGGTAAAAAACATGTTTGCTAAGCTTTGTTCAAACAGGGCGTAGGTAAGAATTAGGTCCCCTCGGAGGCGACGGTAATCCAGGGGAAAGAGATCAAGCATCGCGAGACGCGTTTCGTAGTCCACGGACTTCAGGCCGGCAACCATTCTCGTGGCGGCCCGCTGGACACGCTCAATGAGGGTAACGTCTTTCGTACGTCCTGAGTAGACAACTTGGTTGGCGTACTCCAGGAGCGGTCTGACGTAGGCCCCATAGAGCAGGGTGGCTCTTTCGCCTTCCGCCGGTTCGCACTTATGGTGTTAAGGTCGTCCATGGAGATCTGAGGCTAAGTCCACAAAAATGAGGAATCAGCCTGACATTTGTCCAGCGCGATAAGATGCTCCGCCATGACAATTCCGTTTGTCGTCAGCATGGAATATGAGGGGCCCTGTTCTCAGCTAGACTGATGGCGTGTTTGTCTGTAGTCGTATAATATTAAATGTTACGTCGTTTAGGTTTCAGCGTCTGCGCAATTTTTGCGACATATTACATCAAAGACAGCTGAAACACATCATTTTGCTGGACTTGGCCATCATCTTTAGCTTGTGGAAATAGCTGAATACAGTGGTGTAAACCGGATTGCGTTTTAGTCCCTTATTCGCAGCCGGTCACAGGACGGTTACAGCGTTGCGGTTGGGCGGTTCGTGCGAATATCCCACCAGTAACTATTGTCCGAACGATTGCGGTGGACAATGATGGGCACATTTGACTAGACCCATGGCCGCGGTGTTTATGGCCTTTATTCTTTTTGTTCCTCTCGTATCTTGGAAAGTTTCAGGGACATGAATAAAAAAGCTCAGTGAAAGGTCCTCATCAAATTCTCAGGTTTTTATTTCCTTAGTCTGAGTGAATTATGCGTTGACGGAAGGTGACTGAATATGATGTCCCTGCCGGCAGTAGATTAAGCAGAATCCATGAGAAATGGTGGTTCTCGGGGAGCACTGGATGGTCGATATCGGTAACCGGGCGCAGCATCCTAGGAACTGTCCAGTCGATTGTGATAACGAAATATCAAACCGGGTTAAATCAGCTAATTGGGACAGCAAATGATAACTGACTGAATCATCTCCTTTTTCAACATCGTTCTAGCCGTCATCCACAGAAATGAACAGTTGAATGCAAAGCACATGCTAATCTTCACTATTCCATTGAGGCGTGATCGACTGGGGTGTGCAACTCGGACACCTAATTTAGAAGGTTTGGGCGAGCTGACGCGGTGACCCAAGGAGCGAGTATGATGTTGCATGGCAAGTTTTGTGTTGACCTACTGCGCCGATTCACATCTCACTTTCAGTTATCAGACTGCCATGTGGATACAAAATTAAATGTTTTTAGTACCGTTTGGTTACAGCCACATTGCCATACGGACTTCACCGAAGAACACCACGGACACTAATTGCACCCGTTGGTTTAGTGTATTTGCTAGCCGTTGCTAGTGAACAACGTCCAAGGAGTAACTACTGGAACAGGAATTAGGCTGTTTGTCCAGGTCGCCTCAAATGAAAGGTCGCCGGAACTGAATGTGGCACACAGTGTACCATGGGGTATTTGCGTGGCATTTGTCCTTCCGGGTTAGTTGGATTTTGCTACTTACTGCAGTTTCTTCTGGGCGGTCAGCAATGGTCGGTTTCTAAGTTACGTTATCGGCTGTTGTAATCTCAGGTTTTTTATTGGTCGATATGTATGGCTCGGCATCCGAACATTTGGCTGGATGATAAGGCTGGGAGTCCCCTCCGGCCTTTGCTGTGGCTGTAATCTGCAGCAACCTCCGCCGAACCTCCGTCGTGACCTCATGCACGCGGGCAAGGTAGGCTTTCCTCTTCGAATAACAGGACGGCATGGTTTAGCTGGATGCAACTTTCGGGAAAATGATGAGAAATTCTTCATGCAAGACATTAAATTATGTGATCATGAGCCACGAATTACTGTGAAGTGAAGCAGTGTGGCACTAAAAATAGGGAGTAGCCAAGTGTTTCACACCTTGGTTCCCATGTCTCGGTGGCGAGTTGCCTCTACCAGTGTGTTTGCTGTTTGCCTGCCCGAATCGACTGCACTGATTTTACTGGCCTTGCTTTCCCCCGGACCGAAAAAACTGGCAGCTGGAGTACTTTATTAATGCACAAACCGCACTTATGACGGCTTGGCTGGTTTTCCGTTTGCAGATCTGGTAGCATGTGGTGGATGGGTATGCCATGCAGGGCGCGTCGCTCTGTTAAGTTGCACCATGGTGCGTTCGTGTACCCACCACCCCTCCAGTAGCACGGGTGCATCGCCAATCTCCTGTGGTTCTGAGCCTGGCCTTGAAATTCGGGAAATAAAAATACAAAAGAGCACTACTGTCTTCTGATTGTTGCTGCCGGTGTTGGCGTCGCCTCGGCTGAGTTATTTGGCAACGCCATAAACAACAACAACAACAAAAACAAAAACTGGCCTTTCACCTGTCCAAAATTATTAAAAAACAATATTCCTGGGATGGCAGGAAGAAAACCTGCGATGCCCGTGGCCTACGTCGACGTGCATAGGTGCAGCTGCTTTCGTTATTATCGGGAATACGCCGCACCAAAACGCACCTCGTCAACCAAACTAAAAGACGCACCAACTTGCTCCTCCCAGCAGTGGACACATACAACACATATAAACACACAGTGAGACTCCAGACTCTCCACAACCAGCGTGCGAGGATGGCATCGGAAGTTTTCTTCGTCATGCACCACTCATCGATAAAAGCTGATAGCAGTGCTTCGTGGACTGTTAACCATCCCCCTTACATACACCTTCCCTCCTAGATTGTCCTAGTATCGTCCAACTCACTAATAACCTCCGAGATACCTAGTCCACCATCTCAGAATTTACACAATCGCCAGTCGTTACGTGTTTGGTTGCCATCACCATGCCGCCTCTTAGCCTACATACGATCAACTGTCATGTTCCAGGTAGTATAGTTATATTGGCAATCTAAGGAACTGTCATGTTCCATGTAGTATAGTTATATTGGCAATCTAAGCTTGACTTTGATGACTACACTGAGTGCAAATCCATCCTTATCCTGTCTTGTTTAACCACCTGGTGTCACCGCCATAAATGTAGTAGATGTTCACTTTTGCCCCATTAAAGGATTATATCCTGTATGATGACCCCTATATCTCCCAAGACCTTATTGATCTCCTCTAATTTTCTTCCTCTTCCTAAGCTTCGACCCGTGGTAATACGCGCTATGGGCGACCTGTTTGGCCGTTGTCCACTCCACCTGATCCGTGCATTACGAACGAAGGGATCCCTGACCTGAGAAAAAACAACAACAAATACCACGCGCGATATTACATTGGTTTATCTCACCTTGAGAAATCCCCCGGCAAACGTACAAAATTAAGCTGACCACAGGACTGCGCATCTCAGCCTAACTACCTCAATCACGTTGTCTGTCACGAGGCTGTCTAGAAACCTAAGTATTTAGGTGCAGTGACGGTACGGCACTGCGAGAATATCACAATTGCCACAACTTTTCGATTTTTCATTTTTGTGGCTTATGAGGAGTTCGTGAAAGGATTTGAACAACAAATAGAACCTTAATTTGGTTCAAATGCACTGCAAAACTGTTTTTAAGTGTTTGTTCCAGGCGCACTCCGTCTCTGCCTAAGGTATAACGTTTTCTTAAACTATAATCCCCGGTGACTTACACGGTCCCTACGTGCATCTCACAAGTAGTCTGCTATGCAGAACATCAGCAAGGGCAGAAGATAGCATTCCGGAAGAGAGCAAATAGTGTAACCTGTTTCCTGTTACGTACTTTACTGAAACGATGCTACATACGCGTGGATGCTTCGGCTGACCGATTTGCCCATCGTCCGCGCATCAGCCTCAGTTTAGTAGCATGGTCTAATGGCTGCAAAGCCATGCTTATCCAATATTTTAGGGTGTTCAGCTACACACACTAACTGCCAACTAGCTGCCGGCAAGAGGTTAGATAGTGTTTTTCATCTAATAAAATGGAATATCTCCAATACAATGAGTATGAAAACCGAATGACCGATACCAAAAGATATTTTGCCCAAGGTAAATAAACGTACGTCGTGGTGGTAGGTTTCTCATCATTATTACGATTGTCTTCGAAGAAATGGTAGTCAGCAGATTCCGTAAGATCTAGTGATAAGGTACGAAATGAGTCCGGAAATATTTTAGTCGCCATTGGTTGTGTTCATGTGTGCACGCTAAACCGTAAATAGGTACTCTGAGTATTTAGCTCATTAAAATAAAAATCGATCTTAGCTCATATCAAGTCAAAGGTCCTGAGGACTGCACCCACTGCTGATTAAGCGGTCCGCATTCTTGTGGACAAACTGAAGGAGAATATTTGGCATATTTTGTGAAGTCGACCAACAGTACTTGAGCGCCTCCGAAATAACCAGGGATATCCTACACAAGCTTTAGCCAGCGGCTAGACGAACAATGCATTTTTCTGCAAAACCCCGGTGGATGAAGTAAAAATTTTGACGCCAAAATGTTGCGCTTATTTGCATATGTGCTCAGTCCAAAAATCACCCTTTTCTGCAGTCACTTTTTTGCGATTTGTTTAATCGATCTCTTTTGGAAATGATTGGCACATATTTGGCTTTGAACTTTGTGTGCTATGGCTTCGAAAGTTGCTTCACGCTAGTTCGTTGAGAACTTTTGGGTGTATCTTTTCCACCCTTCACGGCATTTGAGAAAGCCTTAAGTCAATACATGAAATATAACTTCGTGGTATTTCTGCGTTCATCCAGTAATCGAAGCACCAACGCTGATTTGCCGTACGAATGGGCGTACTACAAATGC